ATCTGTTGAGGATAAATATTAAGAATAAAAGAGAGAAAATAATAAAAACTAATATTTATATAGCACTGGACTCACTTGAAGATGGTGGAATGAGTGGGAGCAGAATAGGCCAGTTCTTTCATGACTACTTCAGCAAGGATGAAAAAAAGAGCCTTCACTCAAATAATGATCAAGAATTTTAAGGAGAAACTATAGTATTTTAGCAGCCCAAATCCACACAAAGAGAAGACAGATGCCCATGGGCACTACCAAAGGGGTGCAGTGAAAAATGCTGGCCCAGTTTTTGTTGTTGAGTCATTTCAGTCATGTACAGCTGTTCAAGGCCCCATTTGGGGTTTTCTTTGCAAAGATACTAGAGTGGTTTGCCATTTCCTTCTCCAGATGAAGAAACTGAAGCAAACAGGATTAAGTGACTTGCGTGGAGTTATATAGCTAGTAAGTGTCTGAGGCCAGATTTGAACTCAGGTCTTCCTGACTCCAGGCCTAGTGCTCCATCCATTGTAACACCTAGCTGACCCTTGGCCCAGTATAGCACCTCATCAAAACTTTTCAGCTCAAGGAGCAGGTTCAATCAAACTAGTAAAGCCCACAGCTGTGTTTGGGGGTAGGGATACATGATGCTAGAACAGTGTTTAGCCAAAGATGGCTTGAATCTGCTGTTGAGTTTTTCTGACCTTGATCTGGGAGCTTGTGAAGATTGACTTGGAAAACAATGACCTTCCTTGCATAGAAATGATCTCTGGCAAGAACCACTTCTGAGATTCTTTAAAAAAAAAACAAAACTCCACAGTATTCAATGCCCAGACCCCATATAATACATATCAAAACCAAAAAAGGCTCCTCCCCTTCTCCCCATTCCTTTCAGAAGTGCAAAGAGCCTGACCCCAAAACAAAGCTTCAAATCAGGAGATAAGTTTGGAAGAGTGAGTAAATGGAAGAAAGTGATGATGAAGAAATATCATGGAGTCAGACCTCCAGGGCAAAAAGTCAGGAGAAGAGAATAACTCTGCATCATCTGCAAGTGAAATTCCTAAAAATTATATAGATTTGCCATGAGTTTTACTGGAATTCTTGGAAGAAATGGAGTAAGTTTTTAAAATATTATAAATTAAATGAGAGCTTTAGAGAAGAGAATGCTAGCTTTAGAGAAAAGAGTGGAAAAGAAAACGAAACCTTTTAGAGAAAACAATTGGAAGAATAAATCACTTAGAACTGGAGATGCAAAACCTTACTTAAGTAACAGAATCTTTGAAAATGGTATTGGACCAAATGGAGATCAATGACTCAGTGAGACAATAAGAAATACTACAACAAAACTTTTTTTAAAACTGATTTTTTTTAAAAAGCAAGATATTTCTCATTTAAAACAACTGACCTAGAAAACAGGTCAATGAAAGAGAATATAAGAATCATTGGATTACCTTAAAAGCTTGATTACTCAAAAAGCCAGGAACTTTGAACTGGAATCTGCAGGTAACATAGAACCACTGAAGGGCTTGCCATTATGCTGTTCTATGTCTAAAGAGTTAAACCCCACAAAGCCCTTACAGTTATCATACATGGGCACAAAGGTCTTATTTCCTTCCCTGTTATTCCTCTAAATTTATAATTTCTTTCCCCATTCATTTCTCTATCATTTTTTAAAACTTCATTTCTTCCAGGAATTCCAGTTAAGTTTATGACAAGCTCTGGACTTAGCACCTTCTCACCCATTAATTACCACATTCTAGACCACAAGCAGTAGTTATGGTAGTATGGACAGAGCATTGGTCTGTTGAGAGTGAGAAGATTTGAGTAGTAGTCCTTTGCTCTGCCACTAACTAGGTCAGTGACCTTGATCAATACTAATAACTAGAACTTACATATTACTGTAAGGCTGGCAAACCGTGTTACATATATTATTTTATTTGATCCTCACAATGACCCTTTGTGGTAGGTGCTATTGGTGCCATTATCATCCCATTTTTATAGATGAGGAAACTGAGGCTGAAAAGTTAAGTTACTTGCCCAGCAGTCACACAGCTGGTCATTCTCTAAGTCAGGATTTGACTCATCTTCCTCAGAGGCTAATGCTTTGTCCACTGCACCTGATTTCCCCTTCTCTGCAACTATTTCTTCAAATGAAAGATTTGGACTAGATAGTCCTTGAAATCCTTTCCAGTTCTAAAGACATGAGTTTAGGAGTATTAGCGTGTTTTATCTAGGGCATTTATTTACAAGACAAAGTGTTCTTACACATGTAATAAGGTTCAGATGATCACAAGGGTATCTAAAAGAGTTTTAATCTCTACTCAGAGTAGGAGACTATCGCATTTCCTAAACCATCTTTGCAAGTTATCATTACTTCTCCTGTACTCCATGCCTAGGCCCTTTGGGCTGCCTTGATTTTCCTAAAGTCCCCAGTGTAATTTGTTCCCTGCTGATCCAAATGAGAATCAAATCATTTCTCAGAACATTGCCTCCTCCTCCCACTCCCAAGCTCCACAAATTTGGAATTGGTCTACTTGGGTATTCCAAACAGATTTTTCTTGCCCCTACTAGAGAGTTTCCTGTGATCTAGAACCAGCATTATAGTGACAATCTCACAAGGTGTCCCAGTCTCAACGTTAGATGGAAGTTCAGAGGTCATTTAGTCTAACCTAAGCCTGAGAGTCCCCACCATGACACTTCTGAACCAATGGTCACCCACATTCTCTTCGAAGACCTCCAGTGATGTAGAACCCATTATATCTTCCAACTTACCACATCCTACTTTTGGAAAACTATAATTATTAGAAATTTTTTCTTAAATGGAGCCTAAATCTCTCTCACTGAACCTTCAAGCCATTGCTTCAGATTCTACACTCAGATGCCAGGCAAAACAAGTCCAATCCCTCTTCCACATGAAAATCCTTCAGATCCTTGAAGAAAGCAAAGATGTACCTTCTGAATCATCTCTTCTCTGGGTTACACATTTCTAATTCTATTAGTAAATCCTCATGTTCCATGGTTTCCTGTTTACTCACCATCCTGGATCTCTCCTCCCCTCCCCCCTTGATAATGACAAACTCTAGTTTGTCCATTGTTATTGACTATGGCACTAAGATCTGATGACAATGCTCTGAACATGGTCTAATCAGAGTATGGTGGGACTCAGAGTAAGGCAAGACACTTCAATGAATGTCAAATTCATATTTTTGGTTGCCATGTCTCAATGTCAATTCATATGATCTTACTTTCTACTAAAAGTCCAGAACTTTTTCATTTGAAATGTTGTCTGGTCTTGCCTCCATGACCTGTACTTGCACAGGTACTTGTTGGAACCCAAACATAGGACTTTGCCTTTATCCCTCTTAAATGCCATGTAATCGTAATCAGCTTATTGTCCTAAGCCTGTGGAGAGCGTTTTGGATCCCAGCCCCATCATCCAGTGTTTGCCATCCCTCCTAAACTTATGTAACTGGCAAATCTGATAAGCATCTCTCTATGCCTCCATCCACAGCAATCCATGACCACAACGTTGAGTAGCAAAGGGCCAAGGGCAGATCCCTGGAGCATGCTGCTTAGAAAGTTCTCATTATGCATTCTTTATGGTGATTCAACAAGCTCTAAATTTACCTTATTAGAGTATCATCTAGTCGATATCTCTCTGTCTTGTTTACAAGGATAGAATGAGGAATTTTACTTTAAAAAATTATTTTATTTTCAATGCTTTCCTGGAGTCCAAGTGTATTATATCTCTAGCATTCCCCTGATGTAACAGCCCAATAACCCTCTTAAGTAAGGAAATTGGGGTTAGTCTGATATAATCTGCTCTTCATGAACCTATACTGGTTCTAAGTGATCACTGCATCCCTTCTAAATGTTTAAAAACTTTAGTAAATGTTTAATGATTTTAATAATAAATAAATTTAATAAATAATAAATTTAATAAAATGAGAATTTTGCCAGGAATCAGTCAGATTTACTTGTTTATAGCTTTCCATTTCTTGAAAATCAGAACATTTTCTTCTTTCCAATTCTGTAGCTCTTCTCTAATTCTCCATAATTTTTCTGAAGACATCAGAAGCTCAGCAATGATACTCACCATTTCTTTCATTACTCTGGGATAAAGTTTTATCTGCTAGCATAATCACTGAGGGCACAGTAATTTTTTCTTATTTATTCGCTTATTTTAAGTTTTAATTTCTTTTGTCCATTATTGGTCTACCCTTCTCAGGCCAAAAATAATTTTCCTTAGTAGTGAACACCTAAGAAAAATAAGAGTTGAGGAATTCCTTCTTATTTACATTATTCAATATTCTTGATTCATCCATTCCAAGCAGGAGACTTCTTTGGTCTTCCTTTTGCTTCCAACATAACTGAAAAGTCTTCAAAGCTATAAAGACACTCCATCCCTGAGCCTGGGTACAGCAGGGAAGTTTCAGTAACCAAAGATAGAAAGCCCCATTTAGCAGGGAGCATGTGTTAGTAGTGTCCATGGTCTGGGACAGATGTGGGGGCAGAGTTGATCCATCTTGCCTTGGCATGCACACTCAGTGGACCTGGCTCCATACCAGGACAGTCTTCAGTTTGTGCCTGGTCCCCTTCACAGTCTTCAGGGGTTTTCCAGATTAAAATCTTGCTTCAGGGGAGGGGCCTGAGCTGAGCAAGATAAGGGTTAGAGAAGGGAGATTTTGAGAGAAAGAGTTTTTTCTAGATAGAAGAAGCTGAGCCTGGCTGGGGGCCTCCAGGACTTGTATGTGAAGTCAGGGGAGGTGTACTGTCTTCCAACCCCATGTACCCCCGACCCCCTCCACTCTGAGCACACCAAAAAAAGAGGGTCTGTTTTTAATCAGCACAATTAGTGCATCTTTAATGTAGTTAGGGAGAATTGACTGATCCCCACAGCAGGGGAAATGTGTAATCCACTTAGCCCCTCCCCCTTTCCCCCAGCTCCCGCACCCTCCCAGACTGTTCAAATAGCCCATTGTAACTGTCCTCCATTTTCCCCCTCCTCCCCACCTTACCATGAAGCAGCTGCTTGGGAGGGGGAGTGAAGGGGGGTCATCCATGGCCTCTACATAGCTCTCACATGGGATAGTTTCTTAAAAACCTTCTTATTTTCTTTCTTGGTCCAGGCCACCTGGAGAAGGCACATCCTCTCCCAGTAGCTTCTGCTGTCCAGGTGACGAGTCCCCTGGAAGCCAGGAGAGGTTGTGCCTGGACTCACATCTACTCCCATTCTGGTTCCTTCTCCCCCATGTCATTCACTTTGGACTAAGGGTCTCTCAAGATGCAGTGGGTATGGCTGTCGCTGACTGACTGGGGGAGCCAGGGCCTTTGGGGAAGCTGAGGCCTGGTCCCCAACCTAGAAATGAAGCACAGATGACCGGGAGAGCAGCTTGTCAAAAAGTGGGATACAAGAGCTGGTGGGTCAAACAAGCCCCATCTCAACTTAGAAATCCAAATTCCTGAATTCAAATTTAAATCCAAAGCCTGACACAAAGTATCCCCCCCCCCAAACTTACAGCAAGCTTGGAATTCAGTGTAGAGGAGGGAGGGAGGAGCCAAGCTACTAGATGTCAGGCTAGTATCGTAGGCAGCCAGTGTCAGGGTACACATAAGTCTTAAGAATTGGAAGGGAAGGATTTGGTAAGGATTTTAGTTGTTTTTTAGTCATGTCCAATTCATCATGACCCCCTTTTGGGGTTTGCTTGGCATAGATACCTGAGTGGTTTGAAATTTCCTTCCCTACTTCATTTTACACACAAGGAAACTGAGGCAAACAGTTTAGTGACTTGTCCAGGGTCACAAAGCTAGTAAATGTCTGAGGATGGATTTAAACTCAGGAAGAGTCATCTTCCTGACTCCAGGTCCCAACTCTATCTACTGCACTACCTAGCTGTGATTTGGTGTGACTACAAAGTATTATGATTGGTATTAATTGTAATAAATAAGTAATAATACCTCTCATTTCCATAATAAGTGCCCTGTACAAAGCACGTACATTAGCTTACCATGCTTTGAACATAGTAGTTCCTTAATCATAGATATTAAATTAATGAATGAGTGAATGACCTCATGTAACAAACAAATCAAAGCTTTACATTCAAGCATCATGGTACAATGAAAATAATGCTAAATTTGGAGTAAGAAGACCAGAGTTCAAATCATGTCTCCGTCACTGTCTGAATTTGGGCAAGTTACAACCTTTCTGTGATTCGATTTCCTCATCTATAAAATGAGGGGATTGGACTATATAACCTCTAAGATCCTAGGTGCTCTAGGGATATGTTAAAAGTGTGTAGTATGAGTAGGGGGTGGAGTATCAGGAGTATATATCCTGGTTATATTGGGTGTGTGTATAACTAAGAGTGTGTGATGTTTGGGGTTGGGATTGCGGAGAGATGGTGGTTTGTTTTTTAATCAGGTTGTACTCGGGGAGAAGGGAGTATCTTAAGAGGTGTTAAGGGAGAAGTGTTAAGGAGGCTAGCTGGGTCGTTTTGGGGAATAGGGAGAGAGGAATACATTAGGAGTGTTTAGTGAGATAAGCATTTTGTATTGGGGTACAAGGGGGATTGTATTAGGTCTGTATATTGGAGCTTGGGACCTAAAGTTTTTTGGAGAAAGCAGAGAGAACAGCAGAAAGGTTTCTATGGAGAGTAGGGGCCTACAGGGCACCTGAGTGTCTCAGCTCCTGGATAGTAACTTCTTTCCAGGCTGCACTTTGGACTTCTTCCACCATTCCTTAGAAAATTCTTCATCCTGGAAGCTCACTCTAGCACTGGAATTCATACATCGGAAGTAGCCTGTTGATAAATGTTTAACAATTTGATCTTTGGGAAACAAACAAAACAACACAAACATATTTAGGAAACACTTTCAAGTTTGAACTGAATTATTACTATTTCCCCCATTACTTTCTTAAATCTAGACAATTAATAAATCAGTAAACCAAAACTCATTTGTCAAATTTATTTATTTATTTATTGGTATAATAGATAGGGTAGCTAGGTATTGCAGCGGATAGAGTGCTGGGCCTGGAGTCAGGAAAACCCATCTTTCTGAGTTCAAATCTGGCCTCAGATACTTATAAGCTGTGTGGCCCTGGGCAAGTCACTTAACTCTTTTTGCCTCAGTTTCCTCACCTGTAAAATAAGCTGGAGAAGGAAAAGGTAAATTGCTTCAGTATCTTTGCCAAGAAAACCCCAAATGAGATCACAAAGAATTGGATATTACTGAAAAATTAGTAAATAATAATTGATTCAGTTTGAAAATTGAACAATCAGATCATTCGAACCTGTGTGAGCTGGCCCCAGCAGTCCCTGCCTCAGCCCCTGCAGCTTTTTCCTCTGATTGGATGACTTCTTCTAATATCTTTATTTAAAGAGAGCACCCAAGACAACCATATCCCATTCCTTGCCAGGCTGCACTCCAAATTTTTTTTTAAATTATGTCCCCCATTTGGTATCCCTTCCTTTTCATCTTTTTATATATTGTTCTCCTCCATTAGAATTTAAGCTTCCTGACGTCAAGGACTGTCTTTCTGCAGGTATTCATATTCCTATTGCTTAGCACCTTGCTTGGGACTGAGTGATTGTTGACTGAAGAAGCAGAGAGAGATGTCAACAAGAAAGGCATCAGAGAATAGAGCTTAGAAGCGGGAATCACTGATGTGAGACTTGGAGGGAGGTCAGATAGGGAATACCAGGGAATCCTGTGTGCAGCCTGGAAAAGAAATGGAAGAAACCTATTAAGAATTGGATTAATCAATCCATCAGTATTTATTAAGTGCCTACTATGAGTCAGGTATGGTTAATGAAGCAGGGTCCAGTCTTTTTCAATAACAAGACTACAGCTGACCTGTGACTGAGACTGACCCTTCTGTTAATTACAGCAGCTCTAACACACTTGTCTGTCTATATCATTGAATTCTCCAAGGGCTGCTAGTGTCTTTCCTCATTAGAAACTCTCAAAGTTGGCCAGTGGCACATGTCCACCAGGACCCGGGCAATCTATCTTGTTCTGGCAGCCCAAGGCATGGGTATAGCATGCATTCTGCCCTCAGAAGGTCAGACATGCAACACTGTAGGCCTCAGCCAAGTCTGCCCGAACTCATTTGAATAATCAAAACCTTGAGGCGACTGATAAGACTGTAACCATTTTTCTATTGGATTATGATTCAGAGTTCTCCCTCTCCTTAACCAGGTATGAGAAACGCTCAGTCCAGTAAGCATTTCCTTTGCCCATGTAGATGCTGTGCATTGGGGGGGGGGGGTGTCAGAGGGGTGCAGACTTATGAGGCCCTGGTAGAACATTCTTGAGTTTTGTGCACAAAGATGAGGCAGCTAATTCCCTCACTACGTTCACATTGAGGCCCCATGCCAATAACTACTCTCTTACATGGGCATGTGCAGGTGCAAGGCTAAAGGCTGACTTTTAGAGAACACGGCCCTTTGTATCATGAGCCAACTTCAAAAAGTGCCAGATTCCCTTTTTTCACTCAAATGTGGATTTGCCCTGTCTGCCCACATCCGATTTATTCCTTCCACTCGGCTTCCTGCCCTTGCCTTCTCCCTCCCCGCAAGTGCATCTAAATAAAGAGGACTGTTCACAGTGAGGCCATTTGTGGGGTTTCTTTCAAGTACCCAAAGTCCTACACTGGGTCCTCTTGCCCGAGTGCCAGCTGCTCAGATATAGGAGCACAGGGCTTGGGTGTCTCCACTGAAAGACTTAACCCTCTTCCCCTAGTATCATAATATTATAGAGGACTTTTAGGGGTGGGGTTCCTACCTGTGAGCTCGTTGATGTGAGTGACTCCAAGTGTGGAAGTTTCCTCTACTGATACAGATGAGCACCTCTATAACCTACAGTTAGAGAGCTGTCTGGGTCACTGAGAGTTTTAATCACTCACCCACAGTCACATAGCTGATATGTGTCAGAGGCAGGCCTTGGGCCTAAGCCTTCTAGACTCTGAGGCCAGCTCCCTATCCATCAGGCCACAGTGCCTCTCATAGGAAGATATGGGCACAGAAAAAAGAAGAGAAGAGAGGGAAGATGAAAGGAAGAAGGAGATGGAAGAAACTACTTTACCCAGATGGGGGGGTGGGGAGAGGCATAAAGTGTCTGCTTCAAGAGAAGTCAGTCTTCCTTATATGGTCTGATGCTGAGTGAAGTGAACAGAACCAAGAGGACTTTGTACACAATAACAGCCACGTTATACAATGACTAAGAATGTTAAACTGAACCCTTCTCAGCATTACGAGGATCTAAGACATCTCCAGAGGCCTCGGGATGGAAAATGCTGTCCACATCCAAAGAAAGAACTATGGAAGTCGAATCGCTATCACTTATTTTTACCTTCTGTTGAGTTTTGTTTCATCTTTCTGATGGTTCCTCCTATTGGTTTTAATTTTTACTTACAACTTCACTAATGTGAAAATGTGTTTAATGGGTATGTAAATGTAAAGCCTATGTCAGATTGTGCACTGTCTTGGGGAGGGTGGGGGGGAGGAAAAGGGAGAAAAATTTTCAACTCAAAAGCACATGGAAAAAAAACATAAAAAAAATTTAAAAAAAAGACACAGAAAAAAAAAAAGAGAAGTCAGTCTTCCCTTATTGGAAGAATGGCTCAATATGTGAAAACTCAAACCCAGCCTCCTCTCCATCCACCCTCAGTTTGTCCTTCTGATTCCTATCTTGCTTATTCAAAGTCTTACATTGGGTCTTCTGGTGCCACCACTGGCTAATTCACCCAGGATCATTCTGAAGCCTCAGAATGATCTTTGACTTCTCCCTCTTCATCATTCCTTACCTCCAAATTCCTTCAAAGCAAATCAGTAATCTGGAGAGCATGCAGAAGGGGACAACTGGGATGGTGAAAGATCGCAGGCTCTTGCCATCTGAGGATGAGTGGAAGCAACTGGCTATGATTTTCCTGGAGATGAGAATGCTCTTGGTTGGGAGGGAGGCAGGACACAGTAGTTGTCTTCAATTATTTGACAAGCTGTTATGTAGAAGAAAAAAATTGACATTCTTTTTGGCCCCAGCATGTAGAACTAGAAGCAATGAGTGAATAAAATTAATTAAAATTAAATTAATAGATGAAATGGATTTAAGTAGCAAAGAAGCAAATGTAGACCCCCAGTAAGTAAATTTCCTAACAATTCAGGCTGTCCTAAAGTGGGATGATGCTTTGGGAAGCAGTTGTTACCCCTTCACTAGAGAGAGATCTTCAAGCAATGTTTTAGGGAAAATTGTAGAAAGCATTCTTTTGGAGGTTATGGGTTGAATGGATTTTCCTCCCAACTTGGAAATTCTCTGATTCTTCTCCCACAACATTTCTTGCATCAGTTCAATGCTGTCTATTCTGATAGCACTTATTTTCTATTGCCTGGACTGTTGTAACAGCCATATAAATGGTCTCCCAAGTGCTTCCAACCTCCCCGTTCTCCAAGATATTCTGTATATGTGGATGAAGAAATATTCCTAAGGTCCCATTCTCTTATGGCTCCCCATAACATAAAATCTGAACTTCTTAGCCAGTCATTCAAGGCCCTCCATGGTGTCATTCCATCCTGTCTCTCTAGACTTTTCTCTTGCTTTGGACTTTGAAAACTGTGGTCAGAGTGAACTTTGCAAGGGCCTGGGAGAAAGACTTGAATGAATACCTTCATAGGATCTAAACATAAAAGAGATCTTGGCAGTTATCTAATCTAACTCCCTAATTTTACAGATAAAGAAACTGAAGCCCAGAGAGGTTAAATTACTTTGACAAGGTCATGTGGCAGTGATTCAACCTGTCTTCTCTTTCCAATTCCAGTGCATTTTCCAATCCACCATTTTTCTTGCCTGTGTGGTGTCCCTATCCCACCCCAGTTCTGGGTCCTGAGAAGGAAGTGCTTTATACACTGAATGTGTTGCCTGATATACAAAACAGGGATTGAAGGATTGTGATTCTCTTCCTTAGAAATGGAAGAAACCTTAAAGGTCATTGAACCCAACCCACTCATTTATAGATGAAGAAACTGAGGCTGAGAGAAGTTAAGCAGTTTTCCCAGGGTTAGACAGATAGTAAGTGGCAGAGCTGGGATTTGAAACCAGATCCTTTGTTCTGTATGTTGGCCTTTCGTCATATCTCCAGTGCTTAGCACAATGCTTGGCACATAGTAAGACCTTCATGAATGCTTGTTGACTGACCAATCAGTTAACTGGTTTTTTTCACTATACCAGTACAATAATATATGTACTACCCAACCAACTCTCAGGGTTGTGAGAACAGTTTGTAAATCTCAAAGAATCATAGAGGTTTTTTTCTTTCTCCCACTTGCCAGCCCTCTGCTCCTCCTGCTCTATAGGTGCGCTACCATGCTATGGTGGGGAGACAGGAGAGGGGATAATGTCCATGGAGTTTAGGTTGGGTCCTTACCTGTGGGAAGATTGAGAATGACTCCTTCAGCCTGGTCCTAATGTTGAGTTTGAGCTCTTTTCTGATCATTACAGGCTCTGGGTATTTAGGGAGTGATGCTGGGTTTTTTTTTTTAAATCCTAAACTCTTTGCTTTGCGTAAACACAGGATATAGCAAAGAAAAAAACATTCTGTGTGTTGGAGGGGAACTCTAGCTATTATTCAGCAGGCTGATCTCAAATGATACCTAATGGCAAAGCTATTCTCTCACTTGTATTTCATTGTTTCCATTATTCGTTTTCACATCCTGGTGAAACAATTTTCAGCATAATGTTACTACATTGCAGGAAAAACAGCAAGTGAAAGGCAAAGAAATCTTAATACCAGCATCTACTGTGGCCGAAATAATCAGGGGATAGCTTTTTGTATTGTGAATTTCAGTTCTCCTTTCCTTAGCTCAGCCAAGAAAGCACCCTTAGTTGCTTTGTGTGTGATGGGAGAGAATTGGGACCACTCTCTGGGAGACTTTAGTCAGATGGAGGAAACATGGGCTGAGCCCTTGGGCTGGGGGCATGTTGTCTCCATCCTGACCACCAATCTTCTTTAATCTGCCAGCCCTGTAGAGAAGCATAGGTGCTCTCATCTTGGGTCTGGAGGAAATCAGGCTGCAGCTATAGGCAGATTCTCAGGAGAGTTTTACCTTGGGTTGTTGTCCCTCAGAATCAGTGAATCACACAAGTGTCATAAATGATCTTGGGGAGGACAGAGGGGTAGCAGCTAGAGGAGAGGCCATCCCTAATTCCACTCTGACACCTGAAACAGATCATAAAGCCAAAGCTAATCAGACACTCTGATGGCTTCCTTGGCACCATTGATAAAACATTTGGCTTGTACATGATGGCCTACATAGAGTATCACCCAGATAAGGACCCTGTGGTGCCCACTGCTGTAATCCATTTTGATGTTGCCTCAGACCACGCCATAAAAGATAGGTAGTTTTGACTATGTCAAACCTCACTGAACCTCAGTTTCCTCATCTGCAAAATGGGAATAACATCTATGTTACCCCCCTCACAGGATTCTTGTGAGGCATCAAATCAACAAGCATTTTTAATTGCTGTGTCAGGAACTGTACTGAGCAAATGCAAACCTTGTTGTTGTTGTAACTCATGGCCCAGGACTCCCAAAGTCCCGTGGGTTCCCAAGGACTAGGTTCTATCTTGGGAACTGACACAGCAGGCTCATTTTCTCTTTGTCTCGCTATGTCTCATATGTATTGTTTACTCCAGGAAGTCTTCAAATATAGCTTAGATATAGCTTGTGTCTAGATCTGACCAACGGTTGGTAACAGGGGTCCTCAGCTTCTGTGCAAGCACTCAAGGTATTAATATGGTTACTGGATTTCACTCCACAGAAAATTTAGAAGGCAGAAAAGACTCCAGGAACCCATAAACAGATGCAGAAAGCCCACAAAGCACTCAAGGACTCAATGCTCATAAACAGGCACAGAAAACACATAAGGGCATCCTTTTTAAAAAAAAAGCTTTCTTTATTTTTCTTGTTTTTTGTGTCTGTGTTTTCTTTTACAACACGACTAATATGGAAATATGTTTTGCATGACTGCACATGTATAACCTCTATCAAATTGCTTTCCTTCTGAGTGATGGGGGAGGAGAGGGAAGGAGGGAAGAGCATTTGGAACTCAAAATTTAAAAAAAAGAATGCTAAAAATTCTTTTTACATGTAATTTGAAAAATTGTATATACATACACACGCACACACACACACACACACACACACACACACACACACACACACATGAAAAATATAAAACACTCAGATTGCCCATGACTCCTCCTGACAAGGGCAATCATATTTTGGTGCTTTTGAACAAGCCTTCTATCAAACCTACACCATCTGAATTACTTGTTCAAACATCTAGAAGGTAGTGGAAGCAAGGTTTAGTTCTCTTGCTTCTCCAAGTATACCTTCCCTTCACTTCTCCTCCAGCCCTAGGGCATCATGTACACAACCAATTTTTATCTCCAAGAAGCATACTGTTCAGAAAAATCTCCTTCTCTCTCTGGAACAAAGATTCTTTCTTGAAAAATAGTGTGTCCCCCCAATTACATGTTAAGACAATTTTTAGCATTCATTTTTACAATATTTTGAGTTTCAAATTTTTTTCCCTCCCTCCCCTGCCCCCTTCTGAAAATGGTAGGTAATTTGATATGGTTTATAAGTGTGCTATTATGTAAAATATATTTCCATATTAGTCTCAGTTGTGAAAGAAGAAACAGATCAAAAGGAAAAAATATGAAAAAGAATAAAGTAAGTGGAGAAAATATACTTCAATCTGCATTCAAATCTATCAGTTCTTTATCTAGATGTGGATAGCATTTTGCTTTACAAGTCCTTTGTACTTGTCTTAGATCATTGTGTTGCTGAGAAGAGCTTGAGTCTTTCATGGTTGATCATCACATAATATTTCTGACACTGTGTACAATGTTTTCCTGGTTCTGCTCATTTCACTTTGCATCAGTTAATACAAGTCTTTCGAAGTTTTTCTGAAATCTGCCTATTCATCATTTCTTATTATACAATAATATTAC